AAAATCCGGGCCGGTGAGGGACGACTTCATGAAAGTTCCGAAGCTGCGCGACACCGGACGCCCAGCATAGCCCAACGCGCTCCGGCGCGTGATGATTTGCCGAGGTCCCCACCATCGCCATCGATTTGGTGGAAATCGAGGTCAACTCGTCGGTCCTGGGCGACGAGTTCATCGCCCACCGCGTAGGGCTCATCCCTCTCACCAGCGAGCGCGCCATGGCCATGCGCTTCTCCCGCGACTGCGACGCATGCGACGGCGACGGCCAGTGCGAGTACTGCTCCGTCGAGTTCCACCTCCGCGCTAAGTGCATCAACGACCAGACGCTTGATGTTACCTCTAAGGACCTTTACAGCTCCGACCACACCGTTGTTCCTGTTGATTTCTCCGATTCCTCTACTGGAATCGATAACGGAGAGAGCAAGTAATTTTTTTAATTTTATTTTTAATTACTTTTTTTTTTTAATTTTTTTACCATTCAATGTTTTGTGTGCTAATGCCTAATGCATGTAAATTTTTTTTTTTGCAATTTTTCGCCCAATATCGTGTTTGTCAGGGTCAGTTGTGTAAACTGGTTGCTGTAGATGGGATCTGAGAGATGTATATTAATTTTCATGCTGTATCAAAATTATATGTTGGTCGTTGATTTAATTAGGTGTGGAGGGATTTTTGGTAGTATGAATATTCCGAGGAGAATGTTTGAAGATTTATTAAAATTTTCGTTATGGACTGGGATTGGGAACCAAATAATTTAGTAACTGAAATTCGGCTTGAAAACAATGTCTATATGTTTGCATAACTACACTGTTTGTTGCTACTTGCGAAAAAAATAGTTAAGCTGGAGTGAAGATACTTCTTAGAAAGGGTTTGAAGGTTAGAAGAGACAATCAAATAGCTTGGCTTACGGTATAGTAAAAGATCTGTGTTATACAGACAGAGAGATTGAAGTGGAAATACAACAGATCTTTCACGAGAGTAGAAAAATTTCATGGTCTTTACATGAGAGTAGAAAAAGTATTGAGTCGATAATAGTATATGATTAGCTTCGACCACCATACCTACAGAGAAAACTGAAATGCCAATTATAACGAAGACTTGAAATATAATTAAACAACATAGGGTTTGTTCATTGCTTTTTCTCGTAGCAAACTTAGTCTATTCTTTTGGTAGCCTAATAAACAGTTATCTCAGGCCTTCTTGCATGATTTGTCTTGCAGAAAATAGTATTACTGTTAAGCAAAATTTGCGTGTATTATATAAACAGCAACATTATGATGTATATTATATGCAGTGGTTCATATAATTAACTTTATCGTGATATAGGGGAATCATTATTGTGAAGCTGCGTCGTGGCCAGGAGCTGATATTAAGAGCCATAGCTCGGAAAGGAATTGGCAAAGATCATGCGAAATGGTCACCTGCAGCAACAGTGACTTTCATGTACGAACCTGATATTTATATCAACGAAGAGTTGATGGAGAGTCTGACCCTTGAGGAGAAAAGAGAGTTTGTCGAAAGCAGCCCAACAAAAGTGTTTGACATTCATCCCACTACCCAACAGGTTACTCATATACACCTTAGTAGATTGTTTGATTTCTTATCATGTGCATATATAAGTACTGAGTGTTTCCTTCATTTGGTTCTTATTTTTTATTCTCTATATAGTTGCACTTATATTAGCAGTACTTGTGACTCGATACTAAATATAATCGACAAAATCACTCTGCATCAGCATAGTTCTTGTGATACATTGATGCTTCTTGTTGCTTCTTATCGTGATTTATGAGCTTTGATGTTTGGTTATAATTTAACACGCTTGGGGTTCTTCTATCACCTATGGTCAGTCTGACTGCAAAAAAATGGCTTTTTAATGTTTCAGACACGTTTTTCTTGGTAATAGAGGTTTCTTGAAATATCAAAGTTCGTGTTGAAATGAAACAATCCTCTCGGAAAGATTGTCATAGAATAAAATTCTTCATGTGCTTAACTTTGTTCTCTGTTTGCGGAGATATGGCCCAAAAGTGTTCAAATAAACAAAATCTTTATCTGAATGTGATTCGTTTGACATAATTTGGTTCACTGTCTGCATATCGGTTATTATAATTTGTTTTTTTTTTTTGGATACTGCTTGCTTAACCATCTGTTGATTTACCATGCCATGCTCAGTATCCCAAACTCGACTATATAAACTAATTTCATTTGAAGTCATATGTTCAGTGGCATGTGTTTGTAACTCCACGCTGAGAGATTGACTAACACCTTTCCTAACCTTAAGAGCTTTTTATGAAGACAAATTTCGGGTTAAATTGGAGCTCGAAGTTGAAATATTACAAGGGGTTTAAGTTAGGCGAAAAGCTTAACTTCTGTATTGATGTCACGCAAATTGATTTTTTCTCAAGAGTAAGCTTAATTCCGTAGAAGTTGACTTCAACTTTGCTGTTGACCGAACCGACTCTTTATCTATTCGTACAAGTTTCTGCTCGTAAAATAGTTCTCTTTCGGGCTAATAGTTTGTGAAAATAGAATTTTTTAATACCATACTAATTTCTCATTTCATTGCTATTTTTAATCATTATTTATTTATTTTTCTTCTTTTTTTTGGGTCCCATACAGGTTATCATTCATGATGCAGAGGCATATACATACGACGATGAGGTGATCAAGAAAGCTGAAGCAATGGGGAAACCAGGCCTTGTCGAAATCCATGCCAAAGAAGACAGTTTCATATTCACAGTCGAGACAACTGGCGCCGTAAAAGCTTCACAATTGTTTCTCAATGCAATAGATATACTTAAGCAGAAGCTGGATGCTGTTCGATTATCAGCAGACACTGTCGAAGCCGATGAACAGTTTGGAGAATTGGGAGCACATATGCGTGGAGGGTAATGATTGGTCGATAATTTTTCCTAGTTTGTTTGTTTTCAATCTGTAGGGTCTATTTCAAAAATCGGTGCAAAAAAACTTTTGAAATCGCAGTTAATATATCGAAAACTGAACTGAATTGTGCATTTTTGAATGCTGTTTAACATGTGGTGTAACTACTGCTAACTATGCATGAAGTAATTAATGTATGGATCTGTTTTAAACTGGAGTTTGTAGGCTGCATGGGTTCCTTTAGGTATGAAATTTTGATTTTCGGTCCGATTTTAGTTTTTAAAAATAATTTCGAAAATTCTAATTTATATCGACCGTACTATTATGTAATTTATATTATATGTGGAAAACGTCGCGCGACTATGTTGCCCGTAAAATCTGCGTTGGGTGGTATGATCTTTTGTATTTATACATGAGAGATCAAACTCGTGGATTCGTGTGATTGGGTATAAGTGTATAACTATTTGTTGATAAATTTTATTTTAAAAAATCAATTAATGAAAATGTGAATATTACAATGGGGTCCAACCCAAATTTTACGGTCGAGATAATTATATGGCTGTGCATTTATCTGTGAATAGACATTATTAAGGGTAGTATAATTACAAACTCGAGGTCAACGTTTCAACCAGATCTACGTGCAGTGAGGTTTCTATGACTTAAACCCCTTTGTTTATGTGTGTGTGTCCCTTTTCTTGATTAAAAAACAAAAATAATAAAATAATCACATAGAGTTAGCCAACTCGGTTTTGTAGATGCTACACCCAGTGAATTGCATCGGTTGATTTTAAAAATATAAATCTGCACATAAGAACACACATACAGTTACTTAATGGATACTTATTTCTATAAACATACGGTTTAAAATTATCGAATGTATTTCATGGAGTGCAACATTTCATAGAGATAGTTAGCTAGCCTAGATGAAATATTGAATAAAGTCAAAAAATAATGTTGGATTTAGTTATCCGTACGGCACCGACGGCCAACTTAGTTTGGCGCACGATGACAAATTTGTTTCTTCCAATCCCTTTATATTCAGTTATTTCACTCTTTTATTAAATGAACCAATTAGTAATCCAACTATATCTTCAAAAAGAGTTATTCAAAGCCTAGTAGCATTGTCCATTGTGCAATTGTAAAATATAAATATGTTCATATCATGTGTACTAATATAATTATCATCTGAAAATACATATTTAACTTTTTTTTCTAAGATGTATTTGAAGGGCAAGATACTAAAATTGGAATTTTGAGGCCGAGATCCGCAAACCGTACCATTCTCGTGGGTGCTTTGCAACTTGTGACGGGAAGTTTCGAAATTTTCATGTTTGGAAGCTTGAAATTCTAGTACGTGCGATCATTGGCGTAGCCAGAATTTTAAGTGGGATGGGGCAAATGCATTAATTTTTTTTATTAGGGGATAATGCTTTTACACACGATTTTTTTTTTTTAATTATTTAAAATAATAGAGATTTGAGAAATGTTGAGAGATACTGGCTCTACGAGTGCGTGCAATATAGTACTCTCACTATTTCTTTTTAAGAATCCTTTTAACATCAAATGAATATTTTATATTTTGTGTCATTTTACAATTTCAGTGAAAGAACAAATTTGTTTTGTCCACTAATAACATAAAAATACATAAATAAGACGCTACCAAAATTACGAAATCTCTAGTGGTGGATGTAAAATAAACGATATTCAGATATTAAAAATTTGTACCCGAAGCTACGAACTATCGATTCCAAAACTCTCGAAATCTCAAAATTCGTGTCGAACTCTTTAATTAGCATAAACTAGTACTGTAAAACTCAAGGCATGATCTTGAAATAAAATCTCACAATTACTACAAATAATTTACACTTGTTTCATGAGATGAGATCCCATAAATATTACACATTGTTTAAAAAACAAAAAAGAACATAAATTAAATTGATTTTAAACAAAAATCAATTTTATTACTATGAACATCAATTTTGGGCACAACAAAATGCGCCAAAGAATGAATCGTCTCCACCAAATTCTCTCTGCACAAAAACTCCTCGCTGCAAACCCTCTCCGCCTCCCTCTCAATTTCATGTACAAACACGTGCGTTGCTCCGCCGCCGCCGCCGCTTTTGCTCCTCGCCAGAACTCCGGCGGTGAATATCGCCGCCATTCTCCCCGGCGACGCCGCGGAGTACCCGCTCGGCCCGTCCACCAGCACCACGTCCCACGGCACGTCGTAGATGTGGTTGGGCAAGTCGTTAATCGACAGCTTGCAGTCTGAGAAGAGTAGGTTTTGCACCGGCCGGCACTGGTTGCTCTTCTCCCGCCGGTAATGGCCGATCAGATGCTGCAATTCGCCGGATCTCGTCGTGAATTGCACGTCGTACGCTTCGATCGACGGGTGCTTTCTCTCGATTTCCGAGACTGAGTGCGCGCTCTCGTCGACGAACACCGTGCGGCCGTTGTGGTTGAGCGAGCTCCAGAGGAGGGTTTCGTGTGTGAGTCCGAAGACGAGGAGGTTGCACGCGCCGCCGGCTGCGCAGCGGCGGAGGACAGAGGCCATTTTTTCCGTCTCGGCGGTGGACATTCGGCCCGACGCCGTGGCGTTCGCGGTGGCGTAGTGAAGTAGGGCGTCGGCGACGGGTTTGGGCAGCAGCTGGGAGTTGGCTCCTCCGGGCGCGGCGGAAGCGGTGGTTCTAGCGGCGGCGTTCCTCGTCGTGATCAGAGTGAAAGAGAAAGTGAAGAAAAATAAGAGTAAGAAGACGGCGATCCAACCGCGGTGTGCGGTTCCGCCGGCGGTCTTGTACACCGAGGGGTGGAGAACTATGAACTTGGCGGTGGTCTTCATAGTTTCTCTTTCTACGCAGGAATCAAACGAGTTTGTGAGGTAGGTATATTTTAAGTAGTTAACATGTATTAATACTTTAATATTTAAGTTAAATTATACCTTTAAATTAAGAAACTTACCTAATCTAAGATTAATTAATTAACACAAGTAATTTGATAATGTTATTAAATTTTGGCCCCATATAGAGAGATGTTGGGGCCCAAAATAAAATAGTCCGAGTATTGGAGGGAAAATTCCACCGACAAAAAGTGTAAATTTCATTAGTGAACAAATCGATTTCCACACCTAGAACTTAGAAGTGTAATTACAGGTAGATCTTGTTTGGTTTGGAAAAAAATTATACATACCTCCATTTAAGTTTGCAATTAGCTACTAATGTTTAGTGTTAACTAATATCAAACTTGAAGTGATGTATGCATGAATGTATAGTTGTAATAACACAAAAACTCGAGTGGAAATGTCTAATTTATTCTAAGCCTAATTTGCTTAACACCTTTGGAAACGAATAGTCTTTTAAATCAGGATAATGAAATTTTGACTTTTTGTTAAAAGTCTTTTATCTATGTTTTATTCTTCACCATTCTATCCATTTTTGCTGAATGATTTCAGATTTGCTTCACTTCCACTTCCCGCTGCTGTCATCACCGAAACTCTTCCATATACAATCACACAGACACACCATGCATAATGATGCACGCACATGCACACCTGCACACAAACATATAATCACATTCATGCACAATAATCTTTTGAAAAATCAGATATACTTATTTTATTGGTTAACTTTGTTTAACTATTAGAATTGAAAGAGATGATTGCAAATAGATAAATATTCTATTGTAGATGACCGCTAAACTAAACATAATTAAATTCCATAACAAAGCTCTCACTAAAATCCGTAACAAAGCACTCACTTAGTCCAAACTCTCTAAATACTCTAAAAAACAAAAAAAAAAAAACCATTGAACAAATCAAATAATCAAATATTACAAGTTCTTTTTTGTTTTTGATAAGTTAGAAAAATACACAAACTACGAATACATACAGATTTTACACACACTAAAGTGTGTAAACTTCACACTATATTATATTGTTTATCTTGGAGGAGGAGCGATAGTCACTCAAATCCTGAATCAAAACACTGAGATCATTATAAGACGAACCCCCTTCTTCCACAGCCTTTCGCGCCATTTCCTTATAACTCACCGCCCTCCTCCTCATCTCCGCCGCCGATTCCCCCACCATAACAGCCTCCACCGCCTTAGCCACCGCCGCCGCCGTCACACCCCCGCTCGACACCCTCTCCCACTTCGTATTCCCGATGGAAACCCCAATCCCCAAAACCTCCGTCACCAGCTTCTCGTTGAAGAACTGCTCCGCAAAAAGCGGCCACGTCACCACCGGCACGCCGCCGCAGATCCCCTCCAGCGTCGAATTCCAGCCGCAGTGGGTCACGAAACCCCCAATCGCGGCGTGGTCGAGGATCACCACCTGGGGCGCCCACCCCCTTATTATCAGACCTCGATTTTTCACTCGATCCTCAAACCCTAGCGGCATCCATTCTTCGATCTCGCTCCCTTCTTCTCTCACTACCCAGACGAAATCCAGGCCCGAATTTTCCAGCCCGATTGCAATTTCACGCAGTTGAGATGGCGGAAACACAGCCATGCTCCCGAAACAAACATAGACGACCGAATTAGGGCTTTTCGAATCGAGCCACGATATACATTCGTGTATATCGATCGCCGATTTCTTCCCTCTTACAACCGTCTTCGATTCTCCGTTGCACAAAAAAAGTGGCCCTATATTCCAAGCTTTTCTCCCCAAAACGTTCCTGTAGTGATCCGCATAATCGGGTTCGAGCTCGTAGAACGTGTTCGCCACAACCCCGTAGCTTCTCCCATCCGATTCCTTCATTCGCTTCATCAATTCGATTAAATCGGATTCGTTTTCCTCTAGGTCATATTCGGGTACTTGCGTTCTCACAAGCTTCACCTCATGTGGGAGATTAGGCACAATAAACGGCTCAAGATCAGAAGAAACGTTTTCGAAAGGCTTGTGGCGCCTCATTTGCTCGGTAGCCGATAGAGCGAAATAGCTAGTCCCGTGAAAAACCAATCTCGGGATTCCGAATTTGGCTGCGGAATCGACTGTCCAAGGTAAGAACATGTCCGAGATGAGACAGTCCGGTCTGAATTCTTGGAGGAGTTTTTCGAGTGGTGGTTGGAGTAACGAGAGGGCTTTGACGAAATTTGGGATTAATTCGTCGTCAGTTACTTGATCGAGGCTTACTATGTGATCGGGCAATCCGGAATCCTTCGGTGGGAATTCGATGGTTTGAATCCCGATTTCGATTCCGGAGTTTTGGGCTTTCTTGATTGGTTGGGAGAAAGCGGGGGTGGAAATGATGGTGGTTCTTAAGCCTCTTGAGGTGAAAAGTTTGGCCATGTCAAGTATTGGGATCATGTGGCCATGAGCCAACATTGGGAAGAAGAAAATATGGAGCTTCCCCATTTGTGTACTACTTACTAGGTAATGGGGAAAAGAACAATCTTTGCCTGAACAAACTAGTGGGAATTCAAGAAAGAAACTGAAGTGAGTTGGCTGGGAATTTGGAAGGTGTTGGAGTTCAAATTGAGGTATGCATATGTGTGTAGTGTGTGTGTGTGTGTGTTTTGAGATACTTGGCTGTTAGGGGGGTTTGGAGAGTTCTAGGAAAGAAGGAACCTTGCAAAATTGTGTTTGAAGGTGAAAGAGGAGGAATAAATATCATAACTCTAGCACAAGAAAATATCATCATTTAATTTATTTATTTATTTATTTATTTAATTGTTGTTTATTTTTAACTTGGTCATTTTAAAGTTGTCTTTAATAAAATCCAAAAACAGAAATTGCCTGGAAGTTGGTTGATAGAAGCAGGATTGGGTTTTGTATTTGTTATCTGTTGATTGGGTGAGAAAAAGTAGCCATGGACCCCTTCCTACAGAAGCAATCAAGATCACATGATGAGTATGTTACAATTTTTTTTTTTTTTTATTTCTCTCCTTTTGACGGGTAAAATATATCGAAAAAGATCTACCCAGTGAATTTTGTCCGATGTAGCATAAAATAAACCCCTTTTGACTATATATTCATTTTATTTTGGGAAATAATATTATTTGTTTGTTATTTTGACTATTTATTCATTTTATTTTGGGATATAATATTATTTGCCTCACCAGGTTATATCCTATCATACACGTCTATAGATACGTACGTATTTTTACACACACATCCACATGTACATGTGTGTGATTGTGTATAAATCAAAAGCCGAAAAGAAGAGAAAACGACAGTGTATTTCACCTCTATAAGAACACCATATTGAAATCCGAATCTCACTAGAATAATAGATTCTAACTACAGCAGCCATACAAGTAAAAACATTTAATACAAAATTTACAGGCACAAGCCGTACAAGAATGATGTTTTTATTCTCAGTTTCGGAGCATAGTCAATACCTTAATTACCTCTTAATCGATGATAACAAGAGTTTAATCACATGTTTTCCGCGGTTTTCTTTATGTGAAGAGCGCCTCTCACGACATCGCCCCTTGTAATAATACCAATCTATACACACAGCAAGTAGACAAACTGTAAGGATTTAATTTCGGATTCTAATTAATATCAAATATAAATGGAGAAAAACTAAAATACAGGCACGTTACCAGCTTTCCTTCACCGTCTACAACTGGTAGTCGACGGTACTTTGTTTTAAGCAATAACCTACGTCAGCATCAACCATTTATTCGATTAGTTGATAAATGGAGAAGGGGAAAAAATAAATAGAAAATAGTGTCATCGTATTCGTAAGGCTGGTTCTGTTCGAGTGTAAGGAAAAAATAAGATTCTATAACGTTCTATCTGCAATTTATAGTTGTTTCTGGAGATGACAACCCAATTATTCCGATATTTTGCAACTCAAAAGTATTTAAATATGATCACTTCTATCAGGTATCGGGAGTTGTACGGGAATAAAACTACTCTTTCATATTTCTTATTAAGATTAATAATTCAATATGAAACCGATCGATGGGGAGGAAAAAAAGTCAAATACCTCACGGCATCCTCAAGATTGGTACTTTCACGCACAACGAGAGGAGCAGGAGTCATAAGGTCACCCACAACCTTCCCATTGGTTTTGCTGAGTAACCGCTGAATTTCATTGAATGTCTGCATGGATCAAATATTAGAAGCTGATATAAGTAATGTATATAGATATGTTAATCTATTAACGAGATTAGTTAAAAAGAGAGAGAGACAGAGAAGAAATTATTAAAGAACCAGCATCAGCTGGGGAAATCTCGAGTTGATTCTCACTTCATATCTATTTTAATATAATATACTATAGAAAAGTGCAGAAATAAGACGCAAAGAACAGAAATTTTGTCGCTGTTCTAAAATATATGTCATTATATGCTATTAGTATTTTCAACACGATAGAATGACGCAATCATATAACTTTTGCTTTTCAAAAGTTAGAACATCAACTCTCACAATGTATAAAGAACTAGAAATCATGTCGAACACAGTTTCTTATTCAAAATGACAAGCGGAACACTATGCACAGAAAGAACTAAATTTATTTTATATTTCTCTCTCAATGAAGAAAAGTTGTAGGAATCATGTGTATGCTGGGATATTATAATGCGCACAAAAAAGACAAAATACACTTCTAGTTTAATATGATCAGTAAGCAGAGAAATCCACTCCTTTTGTACATCTGGAAACTTGGGAGGCTAATTTTCACGATTATACAAGAAAAGTAAGTTCATGTTATGAGGTCTTAACAACCAAAGAACATGGTACTCATCAATTAAGGGAATACATAATTCCAAACAAAGGGGAAGAAGATATATACATACTTTCCAAGTGCTGTCGGCAACCGGGAACATATTTGTATCTTGTTGACTACCACCTAAGTATGACAGATGAAAAAAATAATAATTAGACATCAACCTTCATGTAAGATATACTGAACTTGTCAATACCAAGTCCAATCAAACTCAAAAGAAAATAACAAGAAAAGAAAATACGATAATGCTTAATGACTAATTTTAATCCGATCGTTTACATAGTTCTTATAGTCTCTCTGCAACTACTTTTGAACAAGTCTAATAAGGTATGAAGTTTAGACCTTGCTGATATAATCCCAGCACACAGAAAGTCACTTGTGTGCTTGAGTAACCATAACCAAATACGAACAATGTGCATTGCTGAAGGGAGTTTGAAAAATGTGTACTTTATCTTTATAAAAATGATATTTATAGTAAGTACTGGAGATGTCACCGGAACCCTCATTAACCTGACAGTATGTTCTGCCTCCTTGCTGGATTTTATTACTTTATTCACTTCCTTTACTTTTCAAGCATATCGAGAATGAGAATATATCACTCGGTTGTCTCACAAGTGGTCCCGTTCCATTGACTGTGCAAACCCTCTTTCTAATCATAAGTCTCATACGGTGTCCTAAAACTAAAACAACTTAACCACTAAGAGATCTGTTCATTTCTGCCCCTTAGAACTATTGATAATTATAGTTAGCTTAAAAACAACCAACTCTTGTTAAGAGAGTTAGTACCTAGCCTTAATTATTAGAGTCAAGGTGTCTGGTGGTCCAATCATGTCTCTCCCGACTTTCCCATTTGTAACAAGATTAAAAAAAATATATATATTACCAAAAAAGAAGTATGATAACTTCAATGGTACCTGAGATGGAGTCAAGTGCCAACAAATCATAGTCAGAGACAACACCAACCTACAAAAATATCAAGGAATCGTCAAGATTGACAAGAATAACACCATCTACATAATTACTACTAGAAATTAATGCAGACGCTCCTCAATGCAAAAGATAATCATACAGAAGATGTAAAATTACCAACTTCCAGTCATCATTGACCACAGGAAATCCAGTAATTCTTTTCTCAACAAGAGTATCAAGAGCTGTGCATACAAGAAAAAACTGTTAAACAAAAGAGTGAACTGGTTGAAAAAAATTCAACAAATAAAATGTCAACAACCAATACCTTCATCAACAGTGGTTGTCGGTTTTACAACATGCAAATGCTCTCTTCTTGTCATAAAATCACCAACTGTGAAGATTCCATCTCGCGGCTGTAAGATGAAAAGTATACAAATTCAGTACGGGTGAAGATTTCCTAAATTTCGTTTTTCAAAACCAGATGGTCCTTCTATATTATCGGTACTTTGTGATTTAAGAATTTAGTCAAGTGACATGAATTATTAATAAATAAGTCATCAACACGAATAAGGTATAAATGGGAAAAGATAACTGCACATATTAAAATTGACAGATCCGTTTACTAAATTAATGGAAAACAAGATTGACGCAATTAATTTTGTGAAAGCCGTGGTAGACCAGCAGCCAATTTGCCGTTACCATTCGAGCTAAATTCACCAAGGAATTATACGGGCCAACTTGGTGGTTCAGACAAATCGAGCTTGAAATATCTCGTTGATTTCAGATCACACCAAGTAACCTTACAAATTGATTAGGAAACCGTGAATGCACTTACCTACTAGCCTTCTGTTTTCCTAGGCTAGTTAACCACTTAATATTCATTTTTTTTTTCGTAAAAGCTCAACATCTGCAAGAGTTTCTATTATCCTTCCACCGATTAACAGCAATTGTTGCTTCTTGTTCCTAATTTCACTATAGTATCCCAATTTTCGCACTCCACGGTAGAGTACGAACTTGAATCATGTGCCATATTCATGAATCATGAACTCCTAGGGTTAACGAACTCTAGCAAATTCTACATAACTGCCAACTGAATCAAAAGATATACCAAAAACCATATACCAAGCAGTTAATTTCTACAACCATATCACTTGAATTCCAAAACTTCAGGTTTTAATAAAATATTTATGCAACGGTCCCTAATACACTTCTAAACCACAATATTACTACCATATTTACTTTTGGGGAAAAAAATTAATTGAAAATTCTGAGATTTAGACTGAGAGGCAGGGATTACTCACGGGAACTGAATTGGGGGTGTCGATGCTAGCAGTGGCAAAGGGAAGAGCACTCGGCCGTCTGAATTCAGAAAATTGGCGTCGCCGCCGGCCGGAAGACGCGGAACTGGTGGTAACGGCGGGTTTGGGGAATCGAGAGGTGCTGCTACAGTGCGCGAAGGTACAGGATAAACTGTGGCCATGGACGGTGGAGATTGATCCTGAAAGTGGAAAAGCGACTCGGAATTCAGCAAAAATAACGGATTCCATTGGCTAGGTTTGATGCGTGTGAGAAAAAGTGAAAGGGAAGAAACGACGATGCCAGTTATAGAGAGAGAAAGAGGAGAGAGAGAGAGAGATAGGTGGAAAGGGTAATGAGATATTTTTTCACATTCCCGCGTGTACGTTATACACTTCACATTTCTCTGTAGCTCTCTCCTCTCATTAGGGAAAGTTTATTAGGACGTGTTTGGCATTAATTAATTAGTTTTTATGTTAAATTACATTTTCACCCTTTATTATGCTATAAGTATGGGTAGTTTCGGTATGGTTATCGAATATTTAGCTCAATGTCATGTACTTATCGTATTTCTTGGTATTGAAATTTTTGATACTGCTACATTACCAATAATTTCGGTTACCGTTACTTTCGATACGATATTATCGATATTTGGTACTCTACCGTTAATTTTAATGATGGAATTGCATGATAATAATTTAGATGAATATGAAAAAAATCTTGAATTGCTTGTAATTACTAAGAAACTTGTAGAAAACTTTTCTCGTACCATAATCACTCAGATTTTGTCAACTCGCTCACCTCAACCCCAACTCATCATCATATGTAAACTCGCTCTCTTGTTTTCCACACTCAAAAGTGTATCTCACTCTCACATAGAATAACTTAGATCTAGAATTCGGAAGAGATTCAAATTTGTATGAGTCTTATCTCTTTCCGACTAAATGATCTACTATATGGATAAAAAGTAAAATTGTATCAAAAGTAGAGAGCGACTAAATGATCTACTATATGGATAAAAAGTAAAATTGTATCCAAAGTAGAGAGCATAAGTAGTACAACCATCATCGTAGTCAAATGGATAAGTCGCTGAAAGATGTCAATGATTATTCAATGCGGTGGTTCGATACATGTGAGACAAAAGATCATATTTTAGAGTGGTCCAAATAAAAGAGTTGAGAATCTAAGTCAATATCAAAACATACAAATTGGGCTTTCAAATCACCAAGTGGACTTTGTGCTATTTGGGCCGTCTAGATTGGGCCGCCTCAAATAGAAATCGAATTAATAAACTAAATTCTTGATTAATTCAATTTAGACCCAAAATCCAACATACAAGTACTTCAAATGGCAAATTACGGCCACCGTCTGAGGTGTGACCAAATTACGAAAAACCCCTATTGTTCGGGTAATTACAGTTACCCCCTATTTTTTAAATATTTTTGTATAAAATTTATGTAATTCGGTTATAGTTTACCGAAATTTTGGTTCGATTTTACCAATTTAACATCCCTAAATTGACCTCTGGATAGGTATTTTCGTAAAATAATACATAGTTGAGTGGTGGCTATAATTACCCAAACAAAAGGTGATTTTTTGTAATTTAACTATAACTCAGGGTGACCGTTATTTGACATTACTTCAAAGTCTGAAGGTTCCTATATATAATATATGTATAATTGTATATAATTAGTAATTAGTAATATATATGGAATTTGGCTTGATAATACTTTGACCAAAGTTTGGTTTTGGTTGCTTGGTGGTGGTCGCAGGTCAACGTTGCAAAGTCGTTAATTTTATCAAAAAAAGAATAAGTCGCTATTTCACATTCCAGCTAATGCATAAAAGCGCTCTTATCTCGGAGCACGTCATTAAATAAAAAACCCCAAACAGTGGGCCCACTTCTAAATCAACGGTCAATATCGCGTGTGCAGATTATCTAGGGTTTCAGTGCACGTATCTGATTCCGTACCCTTGCCCTCTGTTATATGTCACGCCGGCACAACAAAACCCGAATTTTTGCGGTGTGCAGTTCAAATCTGCCTTCGAATTCCTTTTTTTTCTCCGTTATCTCTTTCGCCACTCCCTCGGCGTTGCCGCCGCCCGTCGTTCCGGCGGTGATTATTTATTCCCTCCGTCCGATCTCGGACCTATGAACCCTTCCCTCTCCTCTATTTATTAAAAAAAAAAAACAAAAAATCCTGCCAAAAAAACCCAAAATTCTGTTAGCCTAGTTGAATTTTAATTTTTTTTTTTATCTGTGTTTTTTTTTTTGTGTGTGTGTTTCCTTTGATTATCAACTGATAATAAAAGGAGGAGGGGGAAGTAATAAGAAAAAAAAAATCCAAAAAAATTACAAAACCCTTCGAAAAAAAAGGAAAACTTTTTTTTTTAGTTCCAATTAATTGAGATGGCGGCGCAGATGCAGCAGATGCAGCCTCAGGTGCAGGTGGCGAACGCCGCTTCCTCTGGCGGCGCTCCGTTCGTGACTTCTCTGTACGTCGGCGATCTCGAGCCGAACGTCACCGATTCCCAGCTCTACGATCTGTTCAGCCAGATGGGGGAGGTGGTGTCCGTTAGGGTTTGCAGGGATTTGACTAGCCGCGGCTCGCTCGGATATGGCTACGTCAATTACAGCAATCCTCAAAATGGTTTGACTTCTGTGCTACATTTACATTATGTGTATCTGAATTTAATTGAAATTATTAATTGCTGCTTTGTTCTACTTCTGCAATTAGAATGTGATAAATGGGCTCGGTTGTTAACTTTATTGAGTATAATATACCATATTACTAATGGTACATTTCTGAAGAAATTGTTACTTTTGTAGTTTTATACCATAAAACGATAGGCTTATTGTAATGGCCCAGAATTGGCAAGTTTTTGAACTTCAAAGTAGAGTATTCGTAAAAATCTCGGAGCTGGCATTTAGACTCGACACGAAAAGTAGGAAAGATTTATAGCCTAGCCCCATAACATGTACTGTGAGTGTGTGACCATCTAGTTAAAGAAAGAGGATAATTTGTTTACTGGTATAAATATTGGAGGAGCTATCCAAAGTATAAAAAGGATCGAATGGTGATAAACAACAGAATTTTGGCTTAATGCCACATCACTCCCACATAATAATTACTATATATTTATAGTTTTTTCAACTTCATGTGCAGTAACAATCAATTTTCAGTTCACTAGCTATTCACATGACTTTGCAACTAATTAGATGATTTTCTTCAATAGATTAATTCCAAGATACATGATATCCGTCAGGCATAAATGTATCAAGATAGTCATAGATAAGAAAGTAGCAATTAAACTTTACAGTGTGGTGTCCTACGAAATTCGAGGAGGTGAAAAAGTCCTTCATATATGAAAAGTAATATTGATGAAAAATATGACGGCTACCGGCTATGTTCTCCTACTCTTCAATCTAGTTCACTCATACTAATTTATCATGAGAAGCTATATGGCTCCTTTTTAATTGAAGAACATACTTTTCATCCGAAGAAATAACTCACATTTCCATTATGCTATTGTGGTGATAGAGTAGAATAGCGGCAAATGACATTTGGTATAGATTTTACACATTATTCACTGAGAATTTATATGCTTATTTGCACCCATGGTCTTACCCATGTCACGTAACCCAAGTAGGGCCGTGTGTTAGTTTTGTTTCTTGTAATTGTAATCAAATTGTCCGTTTAACGACTTTTTGAAGAGTTGCTATGAAGGTAATCCTTAGTCCTTAACGCCATGTTGAAACCATTTGTTTTGTTCATTGCAGCTGAGAGAGCAATAATTGAACTGAACTTCACTCCTCTAAATGGAAAGCCTGTCAGGATAATGTATTCTCATCGAGATCCCAGCGTACGCAAAAGTGGTTCTGGAAATATATTTATCAAGGTACTAAATTTATCCTATATCCTTTCAGTTCGAGTTGTATCCATGCTATATACTTTCACTAATTTTTTTCCTGGTAGAATTTGGACAAGGATATCGACCACAAAGCTCTGCATGAAACATTTTCCTCCTTCGGGAACATTCTCTCATGCAAAGTAGCCACAAATACTTCCGGTCAGTCCATGGGCTATGGCTTTGTGCAATACATTAATGAGGAATCTGCGCAGAAGGCCATCGAGCAACTCAATGGCATGCTGTTGAATGGGAAGCAAGTCTATGTGGGACCCTTCCTACGCAAGCAAGAAAGAGAGATGTCAACAGACAAGACAAAATTCACGAACGTGTTTGTTAAGAACTTGTCCGAATCAACAACTGAAGAAGAACTTCGGAATGTGTTTGGTGAATTCGGTACAATCACGAGTACAGTGATTATGAGAAACGAAGATGGAACGCCGAAAGGCTTTGGATTTGTCAACTTTGAGGATGCAGATGGTGCTGCTAGAGCTGTTGAGTCCCTTAATGGCAAAAAGATTGACAACAAGGAATGGTACGTCGGTAGAGCCCAGAAGAAATCTGAGAGAGAGCAGCAACTGAAACACCGTTTTGAGCAGAGTGTTAAGGAAGCAGTTGACAAATCACAGGGCTCGAATCTGTATGTCAAAAATTTGGACGACACCATTGGAGATGATCAGCTTAACGAGCTCTTCGCTGCATTTGGTACGATAACTTCTTGCAAGGTTGGTGGGTCTTTTTCTCCCTTTGGTTGTTTATTCTCATCCCTCACCAATAACATTATTATCTTGTCACTAAAATATGGCTTACGAGATTTCCTGTAATATCTAATACAGGTGATGCGAGATCCAAAGGGAATTAGCAGGGGTTCAGGGTTTGTAGCATTCTCATCACCCGAAGAGGCTTCTAGAGCTGTAAGTTTAAATCTGCACATGCTATTCACTTGTGTATTTTCACTAGTTAACTTTTCTAATCAAAGAAACATATGCTGTTTTTTTTTCTTTAAGCTTACTGAAATGAATGGCAAGATGATTACTGGCAAACCTCTCTATGTCGCACTTGCTCAAAGGAAAGAAGATAGAAGAGCACGGTTACAGGTATTTTTAGAGGCCTTTTTTGCATCTTCAGTGAAATAATATCAATATCCAGGATCCTAGCAATTAGAATGAAAAATGGAATGTTTTTTTTTAAATGCCTTCGATTTAATTTTATTTAGCAGAAGCTATATTGCTTGTCATTTTGGCAGTGCAATGCAAAGATTATACGAAAATGCTGATTTTCCTTGTTACTTTATACAGGCTCAGTTTTCTCAAATGAGGCCAATAGCAATGGCACCTACTGTTGCTCCTCGTATGCCGATGTATACACCCGGTGGTCCTGGTATAGGGCAACAAATATTCTACGGACAGCCACCACCAGCCATGCTTCCTCCCCAAGTAATAATATTCTTCACTTGCTCCTTATTGAATCTGATGTTGAGATAAAGATATTGTGTAACATAGGCTTTCATATTTGAACGAACTGCTATTGACTGTTGTGCCAGTTTTTTTATTGATCTTTGAGGGAGGGAGGGGGGTCTTAATTTGGAGAGAGAATTAATTTGGTTTTAATTTCTGAAATGAAAAATGCATTTGTTTCGACTCATTTTATTGATTTCATTGTTTAGAAATATTGTCGGTAAACATGAAACCACCAGTTTGTATTATTCAATCTTGTCCACCTGAATTCATGCACAGGCCGGGTTTATTATTTTATTTTTTAATTTTTTATATACATATATTTTACAAGTTTCCTCGTTTTTTCAGCCTGGATTTGGGTATCAGCAGCAGCTTATACCTGGTATGAGGCCAGCTGGGCAATTCATGCCAAACATGTTTATGCCGATGGTCCAACAAGGGCAGCAAGGTCCACGTCCTGGTGGTAGGAGACCTAATTCTGTTCAAATGCAACAGGGCCCACAGCCACTTCCTGTTATGCAGCAGCAGGTTTGTTTGAACTTCAACTCGTGCCTTCTTTTTTTCCTTCTAAACTTTTTTGAACAATGCGGAATCGGGATTTTAAGTAAAATGGGAAGGGACCTTAAAACATTTATCTTAATATCGTGTCGTATAAAATTTTAAGGGGGGTCGAGGGGCCTGACTTGTTATATTGGAGTTGACTTGTTTTTAAGAAAAAAAAAAGACAATTGGTTTCGCCAACAAACAAAATCTTAGCCCAATTCCGATCCAAATATGAAATCGTTGATTATCAAGTACAACTGTAGATTTACTTGGAGTATAATTCGACTAGGTTTTAACAAGGTAGAAGAGAGTAGTAAAGTCACAAAATGCTAGATTTTATGAACCGAGATTTGAAGGAATTTTCTCTGATTAGAATTCGTCCGGGTTTTAACAAAGTGGAGGGGAGTAAAAGTCACAAAACCGGAATAATATTCACGACTCTGTCCTTATTTCTGTCTGTGCAGATGGGTCCGAGAGGACGCGGTGGTTATAGGTACCCTCCTGGGCGTGGTATGCCAGATGTCTCCTTGCAAGGAGGTATGCTTTCCGTTCCATATGAAATGGGCGGCTTGCCTTTGCGTGATGCTCGAATCTCTCAGCCAATCCCTATTGGAGCTTTGGCCTCTGCTCTTGCAAATGCTTCTCCCACTGAACAAAGAACGGTCAGCATTTTATTTCATTTTCTCTATCATTTCGTTAACAATTTCTTTGTTACACTTACGATAATGTTATATTTGTTTGTTATATGCAGATGTTGGGTGAAAATTTGTACCCACTGGTCGAACAATTGGAGCCCGAGACTGCAGCAAAGGTGACAGGCATGCTTCTTGAAATGGACCAAACGGAGGTGTTGCACTTGTTGGAGTCGCCGGAAGCTCTTAAAGCTAAGGTTGCCGAGGCAATGGAGGTTTTGAGGAACGTGTCTCAGAATAGCGCCGCCACTGCCGACCAGTTGGCTTCTTTGTCCTTGAATGAGTGATTGGTTTATCTTTGTTCTCTCTCTAAATTATGGTACACACTTGTTAAGGTTATACTTTATTTTCAGTAATGATTTTTCATGTGTGTGGGATTTTTGGAGCATTTTGCTGACTATTATTTCCTTTTGTGACTATTTAAACATGTGGTTGCTTTGGATTTTTATTCAATTTATTTGGACCTGGTTTTTATTTATTTATCTATTTCTCTTCTTTCTTTCTTTTTTCCAATTCTTTTAAATCGTTTTACCTTTAGTAATCAAATATTGGTGTTCAGTTAAACATCTATAAAATTAAGTTAAATATCTATAAAATTAGTACAGTTAAACGATCGTGTAGGTTTACCTGTGTACCTATATGATTAATTGTTGGTTCTTTCCTTGGGCAAAGAGATAAAAGAAATAAAAAGAAAAATAATTACCAACTTTACGAGTCATACAACATGTTCCTTTTTCCCAGATAAATTAATGTTTAGAAGCACTCTATCATCGATATTTAACAAATTGAGAAAAAAATAATAGGATAAATTACGAACATTCCTCCAAGGTAAAGTTAAATTACGAAAAAATCCTTCATGCTTGTTAATTACAATCATCTCTGACATACGAATCTTCTTACACTGTCAAATTGAACATAATCTTCTAGATTGCGTGTAATGTTCTCTAGTTTGTACTCGTTTTCTGCGAAAATGCAGTTTCTGATGAACACAATCTAACTTTTACAAGGCAAGAGACATATCGTATGATCAAAATATGGAGCTCGAATGGGATAAACCGGGTACAAACTGAAGAATATTCCACTAAATTTAACACAATAACGATGGACATGTAAAAATATTCATAGTTGAACGGTGGTTGTAATTAGCCAAATAAAATGAATTTTTTCGTAACTTCACCTTAATTTCTAGACTGAAACTAATTTGCCCAAAATAATATACCATTTACCGTATTTTACATTCTTTTTCTTTAACTACATGGTTTTTGAATGGATCTAATAATTACAAGATATAAAATTATTTATTTAATAATAGGAAAAAAATATAATTATTGGTTGAATATATAATTTAAAATAATTTTCCTAAACTCCTTTTCCTAATGTACTAAACAGAAGTAATTAGTTTATTCGGTAAAGAATCTGAGTGGGTCCCACTTCTCCTTCTCCTTCTCCAATTAGACCTCTCTCTCTCTCTCTCTCTCTCTCTTCTCTACACTATAAAATCCCCTCTCCGCTTCTCTTGTGTCTCACTTTTTCCCCTTCCAACTAAGAAATCCGAATTTCCATCCCTACAAAAAAACAAAAAAAGAGTAATTAATTAATTAAAGAATTAAGGAATTAATATGGCGGCGGAGAGTTCAAATTCAAGTTCCGATTCCGTGACGGAAACGACAACAACAGCTCTACACATCGGCAACCTTGATACGAGCGTAACGGAGGAAGAGCTACTCCGTCTGTTCGAACAGATCGGTGAAGTTGATTCCGTTAAAATCTGCATGGACGATCACCATTCCTCACTCGGTTATGGCTACGTCAATTTCAAGTTTTCTGCCCACGGTATGCATCTATATCTGTATCTATATACACGTGTGTGTGTGTGTGTGTGTGTGTGTGTGATTCTGATTTTCATTAAAAAATTAATTGACAAAAATAATTCCGTAAAAAATATTTTTACAAAAAATGCTTATCATCAATCTGAATTACTTCTTCTTGTAACCCTAATTTTACAAAAAAAAAAACTAGTTACAAGGCCTATCTTTAACCTATTAATTAGCTGTTATTTGATTCTTTATTTATTTTATTTTATTTTAATTTAGTTATTGATATTTTGAAGGATAAGTTATAATTTATAAACAGTTCATCTATATATTTTGTTTTGATCTTACGTTTTTTTCCATAAATGAAATTATTTTGTTTGTGATTGTATGTATGTATGTATATATAGCTGCAAAGGCCATAGAGGAATTGAACTTCACTCTTCTAAAAGAAAGACGGATTAGGGTTTCGTATTCCAACCGAGACACACGTTCGCGTAAAACCGGTGCTGGAAACGTATTCGTTAAGGTATTTCTTCGTTTATTTCGACTTCGATTCCATATAAATATATATATGAAATTCGTTAACTCGATTTATAAATTTTATTTATTTTTTTCGTTGCAGAATTTGGATGAAAAAGTCGACGACGAAATTCTACACTCGGTTTTTTCACAGTTCGGCACAATCGTCTCGGCAAAAGTCGAAACCGACAAGTCCGGCAAATCAAGGGGCTACGGTTTCGTCCAGTACACAACGGAGAAGTCTGCGCGTCTCGCGGTCGATGACTTGAACGGCGCACTCATTAACGAACAAAATATATACGTAGCCCCCTTTATGAGCAAAGAGGAACGCGACCAAGCCACGGACAAATCCAAATTCACCAACGTATTCGTGAAGAACCTCTCCGAGTCGACGAACGAAGAAGATTTGAAGACCGCGTTCGGCGAATACGGTCCGATCACTAGCCTAGTTCTGATCCAAGACGACGACGGAAAGTCCAAATGCTTCGGTTTCGTAAACTTCGAGAATTTCGAGGACGCTGCTAAATCGGTTCAAGGGCTGAACGGCAAAGTGTTCGACGACAAAGAATGGTACGTCGGACGAGCACAGAAGAAATGGGAAAGGGAGCGAGAATTGAAGCTGCAAAAATCGAAATCGCCGGCGAGCAATTTATACGTAAAGAATTTGGACGATCGGATTAACGAAGAGATGCTCAAGTTATTGTTTTCTCCAATTGGTTGCGTAAAATCGTGCAAGGTTGGTGTCGGAAAAATTCTTTTACTACACGCTTTCGATTCTTGATTTATTAAAGTAAATTAATTATTCTTAATATTATTTTTAGCTTATGTGCGATGAACGAGGAATTAGTAAAGGATGCGGCTTCGTTACATTCTCCAACAACCAAGAGGCTTCAAACGCCGTAAGTTATCGATCAATATCCAATCGTTCGTTACAAATTATTTGTCGTCGTTCCAATTTTTTTAGCATTAAATAATTTATTTGCATGTTTTACAGATTTCGAAAATGAATGGCAAAATGGTACACGGGAAGCCTATTTACGTTGCCATCGCAGAAAAGAAAGACGATCGAAAAACACGACTGCAGGTATTTATTTCTTGTTTCTATAAATTTATTTATTTTGTAGTTATTATTTAATTATTTTGTGGACTACTAACACCGTCGTTTTTTTTGCCGTATTTACCAGTCGTTATTTAACAGTCCGCGAGCAATTTCACCAACATTCAGCCCTCCTCCGATGACTCCGTTCGTACGCCAAAATATTGTCAATGGATATGCTCCACCTGCTATTCATCCTCTTGCTATGGTAACACCTTTTATTTTTTTCTAATTAAAAAAAAATATTTTCTAGTGTAATTAATATTCAAATATAATGTATAACAATTATCCATTTTAATTTAATTATTTCAGGCTAGATTTGGTTACAGCCAGCAACTTATACCTTGTCTAAGGCCTTTCGCGACGACTTATCCCTTTGCGAATGGATTATCGAATATCACTCGTCCGGCTGGCGGGCATTCGGGTTTTAACTATATGCAACCGAAGCAATTCCGAGCTCCTATGATGAATCATCCGCAGGTAAATTAGTGGCAATATATTGAATATTATCGGCTTAATCGATTTTTTTTTTTAATTAAATTAAATTCTTGTGTATTTAAATGCAGATGTTGTTTAGGGGAAATATGAATCAATTTGTGGTACCTAATACAGAAGTGTGTACCCCTCGTGGAAGTGGAAATTGGGCATCTTCACTTTCCAATTCTTCCCCTAATACACAGAGGAAAGTAAGTAATTTATATTAATTGTCTATTAATCTTTTTATTTATTTTTTATTGTATACTTTTCGATTATGGGTCGCTAATTTTTTATTAAATTTTTTTTTTTAGATGTTGGGCGAGAAATTGCTTCCGTTAGTGAAAGAACTCGAACACGAAATGGCAAGTAAAGTGACGAGTATGATACTGGATATGGATCACACGGAGATTCTACACTTGATCGAATCGCCACAATCTCTTGAAGCTAAGGTTGCGGAGGCTATGCGGCTGCTCACCAAGCCCAACTCAACGACTGGCGTTTAGTACATTAATACTTTGTTTTAATGTTACAAGTTATAATAATTTTCTTTGTTTTTTCTTCTAAAATCCCGAATTATTCGTTTCTTAGACGTAACTAACGAGCCCTTTGCATAGAATATATACATATAACAAAAATATAACAAAAAACAAACTAACATTATCATATACGAGCGAATATATATATATAACTTTCAAGAATCGCTAGAGGTAGCTGCAAACTCCTTCATTTCAAACAAGGCATCTTCGAAACACTTTGCCAAAACTTTGGGATCTGCGATTATTTCTTTGCAGCCAAAATTTGCAGATCCGCCACTCCCGCGTAACTCACCATATGCATTGTGATTGCCTGCACGGAAAACAAAATTAAATACGAGACGGAAATTTCATTATTTAGTAACAAAATAATTTTATTCGCGTGACACGAAAAAAATAATTACGTGTGGTAGGCAGCTTGACGTGACTCTAATGTGCTTCACGGGATTGCCAACAATTCTTATCTTCTCTCCCGGGCCGATAATGTTAGATATCGTAAACGTTGTATTACATACAATTCGGTAATTGAGAACTGCAGCAAACTAAAAACCCGGAAATAAAAAAAAATAAAAAAAAATAATAATAATATGGTAAGTTTGTATTGTAATTTTGAAATTGAACAGAAGTACTATGATTACTACCTTTGGTCCAAGAAGAGACATGATTAAGTTGCCAACTTTGTAAGAGAAGGGTGCCTCTAAAGAAAGCTTTTTCTTATCGATCATTGATTTGGCTCTCTTCACGAATCCGATCGGATTAGAATCACATTTATGATAATAAATAGGCAAGAGAAGCATCCCAAATTTGTTGCCCCACCGAGTTCCGGAATTACTTTTATCCAATAGCTTCGATATATCCTAATACAAGGTTGTGAATGTGATCGAGTAAAACAACGAAATCGTTAAATAAAATAATTTACAGATTTAAACGAAGATTGTTGTTTTAAAAGAATTATGAGCTAAGTAAGAAACTTATAAACCTGCAATCCGGATTGTGGTCTCAAATTGACCATGGAAAGACCGGTGATTCGAAGCCCCTCGGGCAGAGCTGGATCAAACAAAGCCATTCATTTCAGTTTATGAAAACATTTGATAATCTGTCATAATTGCAATTAGTATCTCTGTGTTATATTGAATTGCTAAAAATTTACGCTATGTTATTTTATTCGCAAAAAAAACCCTATTGAATCATAAGGGGGTTTATTCTCAATAAAATAACATTAGGTAGTTTTTTAGTAATACGATATAAACAGAGGGGTACTAATTGCAATAAATCCATTAACACTTGGATTCTGATGTGAATTGCAAAAAAGTTTACCTTTTGGTGATTTGATGTCTAAGTATCTGGAGAGGCCACATGAGACTATCCCAAATAGAACATCATTAATTGTCTGCATATTTTGATGATGAAATGTATCTGTTAGCAATTTTCATTTGGTTGAAATTCTCAAGAAAGGTAAATTACAAACCCCTCATGTTTCTATAATTACATCCACTCCCTGTAATTTGTAGATTTCATACATTAACACCCTTTTGTAGGGGTGGGTGTAAGAAATTTACAAACTAGACGGAGCTGGATGTAATTTCTCCAAACTTAGGTTGTGTGATGGCTTCAACTCTAGGCCAAGGCCGGATATTTGTATTATGTTCTTCCTCAGCATGTTTTGTCAATTTTAGCTAGTCCAATCGTATTAATTAAATTAATAGACGGCGTCTATTAATTTAATTAATAGACTAGATAGATAAAGTGACTAATCTTAATAGATCTTTAAAAATCTTAAACGACAAATCTGAAATTAATGGATATAAATAATATTTTTTATTGTTATTTTGGTGGGATAAACATGCTGCTGTAGAAAATGATGAGTACCCCAAAACGGAAAGCAAAACCCCAACTGATTAATTTATTGGACAGAGAAATTCGAATAAATTAAACAGTAATTAATTACTCCATGAAACGGCATCAATTTCTGCTCCAAAAATTTTTTTGTTGCAGAGAATTTGAAATCAAATTTTAATGGAGATTATGAATTTAAAAAAAAAAATCAATCAATTTAAGAAAACAAACCGCATCGGCAACAGCTCGTTTGACAGTCTTCATATCCTCAAGCCTAAACCTCGCCGTCGCCAGCCTCCGCGGCCAGAGCTCCACCCCGGCGCCGCCGCTCACGGCGGTCTTCTCGTCGCTCAACCACAGCGCTCTCAGCGTAAACTCCACAACATAAACCAAAGTATACCAAATTAGCTTCGCCAGCTTCCACGCACTCCACCTCCTCCTCGGCGGCTTCGCCGCCGCGCCGGCGGCGCCGGCAGTCGGCGTCTGCGTCGGATCGTCGGCTCTCCTGCAGCACGAGAGCAACAACGACATCAGCGAGATTCCGTCGCCGAGCGCGTGGTGGAAGCGGAAAACGACGGTTCTGTGCGCCGCGAGCAGGTGGACCTCCCACAGGGGTTTGTCGGTGGGGAGGGGCGAGGAGACGCAGAGATCCGCCATGAAATCGTTGACGGCGTCTTCGTCGGAGACGGCAGGGTCGTCGGAGACGGAGTGGTGGTGGGGAATGACGTGGCGGCTGACGTCGATTTGGACTCTGCGCCAGTACTCGCGGCCGCCGGAGCTCCGTACCAAAAGGCTGCGAAATCTGGGGAGCTTGACCATCACTGAGCTTTCGACTTCGGCTTTGAAGGCGTGGACGTCAAGCGGAGATTCGACGGCGATGGCGACGTTGATAATTTGTTCCATTTGCGGCTGCACAAAGAGGCGGCCGGCGGGGGTTAGTGGTTCTTCTCTCTCTACAATCGCCGCCATTAGAGAGAGAGAGAGTGTTTTTTCCTTCAATTTTGGCCGCGGGGAAGATAATGAAGAATTTCACTATTTATTGCAAAATCAAAATTAGATGTTGTGAAAGAATTTGGGGGAATTTCCCGTGTAGTAAAACTAGGGAGGTAAAAAAATGTAACACATTTTTTATTCCGTTTGAATTTCCAAAAAATTCGAAACAAAACTCCAAGTTTCCGATTGATCTAAAATTTTTCGAAATTGGGAATTAAAAATGTGTACGGATTTCGGAATTTGAAAATAATTTTGACCTTTTGTAAATTAATGTACATGATTCTCTCCAATTTTGCTTGATTTTGGAACAAATTGTTTGTTTTGAATCTGAATCCGCCCGAATTTCA